TGCCGTTTTGGCCAAAAAACTGGTTGATTTTGAACGCTGTGAGGACAGGCGCGTTGTCATGATGAAGCTGCTAGTGCACCGATCACCAAAATTCAGATTTTTTTGTCTCACTGCCTCACACAATCGCTCCAGCACTTGCAGGTAGTGAGGTTGGTTCACCGTAGTGTCATGAGGAACAGACTCAAAGTGAAAGACGCCTTTGATCTCCAAAAAACAAAGCATCCTGGATAAGAAAAAGAATATGATGTTGGCGTGTTGCTCCTCCTGCATCGTGTGCCGCCTTCAGTGAGACCCTTTTCCTATAAATAATGAAGGGAAATTTACCGAAATAAGAGCGAACCACACATTTTTTCCCGAAATAACTTACCAAAAACAGAACGAAGAGAGACTTGGAGATTGTCCCCCTCCCCTGCCTCACACGCGAAATTGACCAGTCGTAATTCGGTGTCCACTCACTGCCAGCAAATTCTCAACGGGCTCCATAGGCTAAACTCGTATGATGTGATGGGCAAGTATTACGAAAACCTACATCGAAGATGGAGACTTAACAAAGTTGGAGCACGACTTCCTGGAGTAACCTGCCAAAAGAATAGCGATGAGATGTCATTAAAAGTGGCCTTGTCCGGAGACTACACAGGCGTAATCATGCTGACCTGGCCGAACTCATTGATGTGAGTGTGTTTATGTGACGTCTGGATACTTACCTGTTAAGAGGTCGGTCAGAACTCAACCAACCCAACATGGCAAGTCACTCTTATAACTATAAATATACTACTATCTGGGTTTCAGTAGCCCGTTTGTTTACGTCAACTTTAAAGTCATTGGGCACTGTGTGCGTTTGCGGTCATTATACTGTTCGCTGTCATTTAGCGAATTCCCAGCTTTTTTAACACTCCTGTCTTATGCGTTTCACATGCTGAAAATACCTATAAATATTTACTACTTAACTGCATCTCCCGAACGCTCTCTTCTGCTGCCGGTATTATGTCTTTTTAGCCGACATTTCAAAACGGTCAAACGATCTGCTAGTCGAATTCTGGATGACGTTGTCCATCCCCTGCGTTCTGAACTAAGTGGTATGAAGTCCTTCCGCCCAATGCTCCGTGGCTTTCGACATATCTCTTGTCGTATATCGGCATATCAGCATTCTGTATTGTAATTCGTGGCACGTCATCCTAGACGGGAAGAGACAGAAATACAGAAATTGAGACTTAAACTGTCCCCGCAATAGATGTTCACTTTTGGTAGACATTTGGACTCTTGCGCAGTTTATCAGTTTATATTACAGTAAGTGACCGATCTCATGAAATGTTGGCTGAAATTCTGAAATGCGCTTTCGAGTAGGAAGGATTGTAGCAGCTGCTCCAGTCCCCCTTTTTCTCCGGCTCCGTTTTGTTGAACAATGGCCGCGACAGCTGTTGACACACAGCCACCCCCGCCGGCTAACACTCCGACACCCCCGGTCCAACTTCAGTGACTGTCGGCTGACCTCACAAACTTTCATCACCCCACGCGCGTCTAACGCCCTGGCCTGATACCCGTGAGGCATTGTGTACGTGCGTCCCTTATTCCTCCCCTAATTTGTCCAATCACACGACCACCACTCAGCCAGTCACCCCTCCTGCTGACCCAGGCGCACTCCCGCATAAACACACACCGCGACTGACGCTCTCCATGAACGGACGCTTATCTCTGTTGCAAGCAAACAGCCAACTTACGCAACCTGCCCTGTGTACAGAATAAACTAGTCCTCACAGCTCCCTGACTTCTGACAGTAGACGAAACGAACTTATTGTGCGTGGTTTAAGTTGATCTCACATCCTTGACCGCCACAGGATTACGTGGGTGCGGTTGTAATACTGATTACCTTACGGCATTATATTATAACATTTCGGACTCGGCGGGATGTTAGCTTTTGAATACATTGCTTTCCAGTCTCATGTAGAGACCGTACTCTGTACAAAATGACTACTTAAGTAGCATGCATTTTCCCATTAATTTTATATGGCTTTGCAAATTCAAACATAACTTATGGAAACCATAAACAAAAATATGCTTTCTTACAGTGGTTTAATAGAGAATTAAGTCTTCTTCATATTTTATACTCAAGGAAGGAGTATAATTAGGTTTTAAAAAAGTTTTCTAATTGCCGAATAATTTAGAGCCTAATCATTTGTTGCATTAGCGCTTAGTGATTTCAGTTTACAAGGTGCATGTGTTCGGCATAAAGAAAGTTACACATTTTTCTACGGCATTAAAAATATATCATACAGAGTCCATACAATTTTGCAATGCATGCGGAATATGTTGTACCCCTCGGCAAATGCAACACACACTGAGAGGACACCACTCGAGCTTGAGAAAGAGGACAACTCCGGGTTCTGTGCACAATAAACCCCTCATTCTGGTGCCCTCCGTCTTCTCCTTCCTGTCTGGGATTTGACTCGGTAACTGTAGCTCACAGACTACACACATACCCACACTCCGTTTCGCATAACCGCTACAGCATCTACGTCCACCGCACTCCCGAGGGGTCCGCGCGGCACCGGGGACTTGTGTGGCAGATACTGAACTCTCTCTCTCTCTACCTTTGTTCACCTTCCGCCGATGATAAAACAGGGACAAGATGGCAGCATGTGGTCGTGGACGGGCTAGAGAGCCGCAAAAAGCATATTGGGAAGGAACCATCGCAGCCCGACTATCGGACCTCCGGTCACTCCACTATGAGGACAGAGTGTTCCCATCAGTTGGTCCCTCCATTTTCCTTGCCTTTGTCGGCCAAGCTCGAACACTGATTGCCTGTTGCTATGAGGTCGCCTGCGAAGGCCCCGGGCAGAAACGCCAGGACAAGATGTAATCACCCCTGTACTGTCGGGCGATTGGAACCGATAGATGGACTCCGCTCCCATGACATAGATAAGTTTCCTTTCGTTTAGTGTCCTCAGAGGTTAATGATGCGATGACGCTTAGAATGGGCAAATCGAACCACCTATAAAAATACGGCGGAGCTAAGACATTTTGAGTAGAGCAATTAGGAAGCTCGCCTGGCTCTCTACAACAGGCAACTCGGTAGCTGTGCTGGACCAACACGTGGACTAGATAAGGGTCCGATAAGCGTTACTGAGCTTCGTAACCATAACAAATGCCATACCAGCGGGAGGTTTGTTGGCATGCCTAGAAGCAGACTCCCGTCGGGCCAGCCACCTGCTCCCTCTCCCGCCTCCGGTCTTCTCGACCCTATCAGGACATTGGGCCCTGAAAGGCGAGGAGGGGGGAGTGCGATAGATGCTGTACAAGTCTACTGCCACTATTAACCAAATCACGCGCAAGTAGCCCCCCCCCCCGCGTCCAGCCTGCTGTGAGGCACACGAAATCGAGGTTCGAACTGCCGACCGATTGCAAACACGACTTCATCCATGCGGGGCTCACCTACCGATATCTTCTGAGGGTCGCGAGCATCAGTTGATATTTCGGGCCAATCCGAAAACCTTGGTGTTGTAGTGATCCTACTCGGGGCGCCTGTTTCAAATACTGCGCCTCTCGCACGTACCAGGTTCTCAGCCAATCACAGCTATCCAAACCAACCAATCCGCTTCAAGGCCGACCCAGATATGTCTCTGCTCAAGGCCCTGTAACTCCTGCTCCGGTGGCCCTCGGATGCCCACTCTCGGTTACCAGCTTAATTCAACATATTCTCCCTTTATCCTTCATGGAATAAAATGCCCTCTATACTGACGTCCAGCTTTCTCTCTTTTTATTCGTAACCGGGTCTGGAGGTCGTAGCGAGAAGCCTGCTAACGCTTTAAGCTGCCGCGATAGAGTGACGCAAATGTTCAGTAAGAAAGATCATGTTAAAAGGATTTTGAAAGTATATTTGTTTTGAGACAAACAAACAGGGAGCTTTCAAAAGAATATTGAATATGACAATCCAAAGGATCAAGTAAAATGCATCCGGACTCGTAATAAAACTGCAAATTTACTTCTTCTTTTTCGACGAGGACTTGCTCTTCGAGGACTTGGATGTATCAACCTTTGTTTCTGTGGTTTCTACAGCAATAGCTTCCATGGAGAAGTCCTCATTGAGTGGTTCAGGTATCGGTTCAAAGGTCTTTTTGGATTCGAGAGCTTGTCTGTGTAGAATGCGTGCGTGGTTCTTCTCATGATTCAACAAAATCGGGAAAGCGATCAGAGGGTCTGGGCAGTCGGTGAATTCTACGTGACACCAACCACAGACGAGAGGGTTGTCTGTGGTGTGGGCCACGAGAATGTGTGCTTGAAGTTGGGTTGGATTGGGCAGAACCTCCCAGCAGGTTGTGCAGACTTGGTTGGTATCAGTAGCATCCATTAGCAGTTCTTGGCTGGTCCATAGATCGGCCATCTGCGCGATCGCCTCTTCGTGACGTCGTTTCACGTGCTGGTTGAAGCAGTCCTCCGACCAAACACCCTTCGAACACATGGCGCAGATTCGAAGCCCCTCCTTGACTGGGGCGTCTGTTCCGTGACGGCAGAGAATGTGCGCATGGTACTCAATGTTGCTATGAAAGACTTGGCCACAAATCACGCAAGCGAAGGGTTCCCGCAGTTGAAACTGTGTCAACAGCTCCCTCCGTAGAAGTAGGGTGTAGGCGGGGACATGTGTTTTGGCACAGTGTTTGTCAAGCTCCATAAGACCCGGGGCTACTTCTGCTGCCTCGAACCTGCACATCTGCTCTCCAAGAGCCTTCTTGAGATTAATGTCATACTGTCGCAGAGTGGCCTCATCCGCATTTGCTGGGGGAGGCGGAATTGGTGGCGGAAGCTGGGGAGGTTCCTGAAATGTGAACGTGCACAAACCACAAACACCCGGTTGTCTCTGGGGCCGATGATAGGCCAGCAGATGGACAGTTAATTCGCTGCGCGACTTGAGAGGTCTGCTACGACAGAAAAGACACCTATATGGCGGACCACCCCCTAGTGAGACATTGGAACTGATGTAGCGCAGAAAAGCAGACTTTGCAAGGCAACATTTGTGTTTCTCGGACCACTTCATGAAGACAGTGTCCTTGCATTTGCGACAGTGTTGATGGCTGATGTCGTAGGGGGCCTCGTGGTCCATGAGGAGGGTGTGGGCTTGAACGGCGGCCCCATCACTGAAGTCTACGCAGCACAGGTAGCAGAAGCTATCTGGTTCGGTCTGTATGCCAGTCTCAACCGGCGGTTCGCCGCCACCATCTTTGCCTCCAGAACTTTTGCCACTCTTGCTTTTTGGCGACGAACTCTTGCCCATCCCGAAAGCTGGACTTCACAACCACGCACGCACACAACCACACACTCTGAACCGTCCCTGAACCTACACCTCCGTGCCAATGAACATTCAAGCGACTGGGGGGACAATCGATCGCGCCTGCCGGCCAGCACGTGGTATCTACGGCGGTCGATATGATATTTAGAAACATTTTCCGGGGGTGGAGGTGGTCATGCTGTCTGTTGCAAATACACTCTCAAAAGTGTGCCAGGAACTAAGCGCAGTAGTAGTTCACAGAGCGTCGTTCTAAAGGTGTCAAGGCATTTTTTACTCGACGGTCGTGCGTTCATTGGTTCACCCTGTATATTGAAATACCGTCTGAGAGTCTTTATAAAAACTGTCAAGGACTGTTTGAGGCAAATACCCTCGGGCTGCTGATGAGACGTTGACGTGGTTTTGGAAGGTAGCCGGTTTATTTAAAAATCATTTTGTTGAAAGCTCGCCATTCTTCTGACCGGCCGACTTGATAACACAGTCCTTCTCTTAATATAGATTGTATTTTAACCATGCTCATTTGCAACGCGATAGCCCTGAAGCAAAAATTTGTCTCGCGGTATGTCTTCAAATGTAATAATTCCATCTTCTAAATTTCTTTATAAACACGTGAAAATCTAGAGTGTGTGGGAGCTTGCCTCTGCAATAGGAACCAAGATATTGCCGTTTTTGATGCATAAACCACGTCTGATTTCCAAAACTGCACCTCCCGGCCACCTAAACTAGCATTTTTGATTTGATTTGCTAGTCCCAGCGCACTTTGCATCAGATTTAATGGGATTCCGGCCTTACGATGCGTCCCGTCCTCTATATCACCTCTAGATGTCTAAACTAGATGCGTCTGTCTTAGCATTCATTTAAGGTGCAGGGATCAACAAGGCGAAGATTCCCTAATCAAAAGTCGGGAGGCAGAGTTAGTTGGACATACGTAACGGCAGTAAGAAAGTTTCCCAGCGATTTGAAAGGCAGTGGCGGCCACTGTTCCAGCAAGCTGAGTACCTGACGCTGATGCTGTTGACCCCCCTTAAGAGGTACCGCAAACCCCACGACGACCACCCCCCGTCACCGAGGATCACACTGCCGCTGCGGCCCTCACCCAAAGACACCCCCACCGATGGAACGAAACCCGACGTTCCATCATCTGCTACCGTCACCACCCACTTCCCCACCCCCAGCGACGTAAACTCAGTCCCGACTAGTCCTCATTGTGGGCATACATTCACCTCACACATCGGCCTGGTTGGTCACCTGCGAATCCATCGTACAGAGGCTGACGGTCCAGTGCCTGGAGCACCAACCTACACTCACCTCATCCACCTCAACTGTCGTTACTGTCTTCGCACATTCACTCACCGCATGAGTCTACTCGGTCACATACGCATCCACGACAGCGGAAATCACTGCAGTACCGACACACCTAGTACGCCTTACATACCCACCACGCTCCGTCCAGTCAGC